CACCCTTGGCTTTCGATGTATTGTATTTATTGCTATATTTCCACTCAGTCAGTAAAGAACTGCAGCTCTGTTACCCCTGTGCCTTGTGATGCAACTGGTGATCTAATAGGTCGTTAAAATGTGAGTAAAATGTGACGAACAGTTGGCTATTATTATTATTATTAACTAGTAGTTATAAATATTAGTTTTGGTTCTCAAGATGAGGTTCTTGCTAAGCACAGATCCCCCTATTTGATCTTGAAGTCACATTGTCTTTTGATGATAAATGAATACATATATTAATCTGAATGGGATCTTCAGATCTCTAACTGAACTGTACACAGGGTTAACATAACAAAACAACAGCTGTGCAATATAATGTAATGTCTTTTAAAAGCATTATACTTTGGATGGTAAACGTGTTGGTGTTGTCAGGGTGGATTGTGAACAATCTTGACTACAAAACTGCCAGAACAATATAAACAAAGAATAATGTCCTGAAAAGCATTAATGTGTTCTATGTCTTTAACTTGGTATTTCTGCTGTATCCTTATAGAGCTGTCCTTCAGCCTGATAGTGCTGATTATATTAATTAAGCCCAGGGTTGGTCAACCATGGTCTGCAGTTTAAAAGGTGACCCATTTAACCTCGACTACAACCATGCATGCAAACCTAGGAAGACTCGGCTGCTACACTGAACAACTCCCATATCTGCAGTGAATCGCTTCCTTTAATGTTTGTAATAGAACAATTTTATCAAAGACACCTCGGGGACTTGAAAACATCACACCTATAAATCCTCATGGGATTTTATGTGGTATTTTAATGTATGTAGTCACCAACAATTGCCTCACTTGCATGCAGTCATTAATATATAGGGACGTGATAAGCTCTGCGCTGTTGTCATGTTTCATCTCTAATTAATGACACTTAGCCGATGTTTGTCTTTGCACTGTCTGTCCTGCTACCCTGCTTATAGTTCTGCATCTACCAGTGAACATGGCTGGACTCAGCCCTCACTGAGTCCTGGGCTGGATCGATATACCCTGCATGGCACGAGGAACTTTGGTTGGTGACTCGTTGGCATCGTTGGTGGTATCTGTGTTTGATGTCGGAGGGAGGTTGTCAGCCGCCTGGTGCCGCAGTTAATAAAAAATGAATGGAGAGAGAAGGGGGAGGAGCCCAGCCCTCAGCTGTTGCTCGAGCTCTTTAACTCTCACCTCTCTGGTGGCTGCTCTGCTGCTCCCACTGGGCAACGCAATTCTGAATCCCACTGCTGCCCGACTTTGCCAGGTTTTATGTAACACAGCACCACAGCTGTTGGAGTTTTCATCCCACGCTATTGAAACACACGCAAGAAAATATTGATTTCTGAAACAACAGAAGTATAATAATGGGAATTCAGTCGAGGCTGGGGTCTCCCAAACAGAGGGAGGATTTGACTGATTATAATGTAAAACATAAAAACTAGTAGTAGCTCAGAAATGCATGGCATGTACTAAGCTCTCCAAAAAAAAACATAAAGGACAAAACATAATCCAGCCATTATCTTGTAGGAACCAACCTTTGTTTGAATGATTAAAAATGCATTTTGACCTCGATTGTAAATCTGGATGATTTAGTGGCTATGGCTTCACGGTGCACTGGCCCTTTAAGCCCGGCTACGCCTGACTTGAACATATGGGAAGCTAATCTTAGCCTGAGTCCTGAGAGAGACAAGGCTGGCAAGCTGCCCCACTGTGCAGAGCTGAGAAAGGTTTCTCTTGCTTTCTCTCTGTTTTTCTCTCTCAATTCCTGAACAGTTTCTGATTTAACCCCTTAATACTGTTGCCAAAAGCTCATCAGAAAATCATTCAGGCTGTGATGTGTTTCACCTGGAAAAAATGCTCTAGTATTCTGTTAATGTTTACATCATTGACCAATGAGATGTGACTGCTCAGCTCTTTTTCATGACTTGGCACACACTAGCCTGGCAGGACGTAGTACACAGTGTACTTGTTTTTCAACCATTTTTAACTCACTTGTTTTCCATCCATTTCCCTTCTGTCTGTTGTCCACTCCATTTGTCTCAGACCTAGAATTTTATAACATTCTATATTGATTACATTGCTCTCCTTCTTTTCATGTCCTAAACCTCAAGCACAAAGAGCTGCCTCTTAAAAACACTCCTCCTACTCATTATTTTTTAGCGGCTCCACCCTGCCCATCAGCCCCCCCACACATCACCACCTTTCCATTTTTTTCTCTCCTCCCTCCCAAACCACTCCTCCCTTTCTCTTTGTGAGGAGTAGTGGCGGTGGAGGGGGGTAGGCCTTCCCCAGCTGGGCTATTCGTGCCGACTTGCACGTGCCAAAAGTCAGGAGGTATGACTCAGACTGAATACCCTACACTCAATACTACGATCTACACCCAAACACTCCCTGAACTTAACACCATCCTGCCCGGGTGGGGGCTGCTGCGATGAAAGCAAAGACAAAGAGGGAAAACCAGAAAAAAAGACAGATGCAAGGATAAAATAGCAAGGTGATGCCTTAAATATGAACAATGTGTTAACAGTCTGTTATTCATTATAGACAGACAAATAGTTTAATAAAAATAATATCCTAATAATAAGAGCTTCCATTAAGATTAGTCTTATTTGTTTAACCAGGCGGGAGGTTGCTTCTCCTCTGTTAAACATGTGCTCAGTTCAGCTCTGCAGCCTCTTGTCCTGCCCACCAATAAACCCAGTGACCCTCAGAGAACAATCCAATACTGTATGCATACTAGCATGTGTGTGTGCGGGGGGAAAAATCATTAAAGTGTGCCTCTGCATTTGTTGCCCGTGTGTGCCTTTTGTAGGAACCTTTAGTGTCTTTGCCTCTGTGTGCATGTGATGAGAAACAGGCGTGCATGTTGGAAGGAGGGGACAGGAAGAGAGAAAGAAAGTGAAAGATAAAGATAAAGAGACAGAGAGCAAAAAGAGAGGGAGAGGGGGAAGGAGAGAGAGTCACAGAGTGTGTCAGATCAGATGACCTTGATGTCATTAGACTGCAGGGCAATATGGGTTGGGGGTGGGGGTGTATAGAGGTAGATGAGAGCAGTAGTGATGGTAGAGGGAGGTGGAGTCAGCTGACAGGAAGAGATGGGAGGAGGGGAAAGGACCCTCATGTCGAGACTGTGATGCTCATGTGAGTTGTTTAACGGCTTTTTTAAAAATCACAAATAGCACATATCCTCCCACTGATGAAGGTGCAGATAGAGTGAAACCACATAAATTCTTATAAAGACTATTCACATAGTGAATACATACACAGTAAAAAAGAACAAGTTGTTCTTTATTGGCTTTTGTGTGTTATATACACCTAGACCTCCCACTACCAATGTGCTGGTAACATTTTAAAAAGCTTATTTCAGTGTGTGAGGGTTTAATGTCAGGACTTTGTCGAGAAGAAAAAGACTAAAATGACTCAGGCTTAGTCATGCAAGCCAACCCAACACACACTGCTGAGGATGGACTTTTGTTGTCAATCATCCTCCTACAACCTTTTCTCTGTACTGCTGAGAAACAATGAGCAAGAGATGTAAGATAGATGAGAGAGAGCGAGATGAGGGCGTGAAACAACTCATGTGGATGATGATTTAAGTAGATTGTGATCGTTGTGAGAATTTGTACCTTCCTCTACCTCTCAGTGCCGAGTTACAGCAGGTTTACCGTAAGTGTGGATCATACTGCTTTGTTTTCCATTTTATTTCCTCTAAAAAGTTAAGATACTTAAATTGTTGTTTTTCCAGTGTCTCAAGGTCTTAGTGTCATGTGAAGTGAACACAGTTGAATTACGAGTTAACTGGGACAGACTGTATGCCTTCCAGTCATAATGTAATCTGTCACGTTGTTGTGTTATCTAGTTTAAAAGTAACCCATTGTGCTCAGGAGATGATTTCAGGACAGCTCTCGTGGACAGACCTGAATGGCAACATCATGATGTTGCCTCTGTGCGTGACTTTAATCACACAGAGACATCTTAAAGCCAAGAACATACTTAACATTTAGTTCTAGTTGACAAAGATAGCCAAACATGATTGAGACCAAAAACGTTGAGCAATGTTTTACTTGAAGTGACAGTTGCTTTGTGCTGCTGGTTTTGAGTCATAAATGAGCACATGTTTGAATAAAGAGCAGTTACTGTAATTGAGTTGTATCTACCTACATACAGTAAATTATGGTACATAATGTTACAGTGTTGTTGTTAAGCATCGTGTGTTGGAATCAGCTGAATTTGCTATCGTGGGGGTTCCTGCTTTTGTTGATGTTTTGGTCGAACTGTACTTCTTTGTTTTACTCAGCTGTGTATGTGACAATCTCACTCAGAGTTCATGTTTTTATAATACGAGTACGAATGAGTGAAAGCATCCTGTTGAAGTGCGGTACTGTCCTCTGTTCCACTTTCTTGATGAAAACGGTGAAAGTGTTGATGCCACGTAATGTTATCATTCAATTATAGCACTGTTTATATTAGATCTAGTTGTGATGACTGCTGGACGCCAAGGTCTCTTCTCGCTCAAACACTGTTAGCTTTTTTAAATGATTTATTTTGGCAAGTGTGTATAGTGGGTATTACTTTAAGAATTAAAGTATGTAAATTTTTTGATAAGGGCACAACGTTAAAGGATCGAAAAAGTTTGTTCTGTTCAGTATTTTAAAATGAGGAACTGTGCGTGGAGAGCATGTGATTCAGGGGTTAAGTCGAGTCTCGAGCTGGAAATGCTGTGTCACTGCAGCCAGGGGAGTGAGCGAGCACAAGTCGGGTGAATGAAAGAGCATGTTTTCGAGTGTCCGTTGGTGTGTGGTATTGGTGATAGTAGAAAGTGGGCATGTGTCAGATGACACATGTGCCCACCCAGTGGTGGAGGCAAGCGTCCTGGTGGGAGACACTGATGATGACGATGATGACTTCACAGCTACGTCATCGCCACATGTGTTTCCTACCTCTCTTGCTCACTGCTCTCCCTCTCGCTCATTGGCACTCCCTGGTCATGTGACCTAATGCTCTACTTCTCCTCTCCTTCCCTTAGACAGCTTAGGCTGCGCTGTGTTTCTCTTTGGGATTGACGCTCATCTGTGTGTGTATATACGAATATGTGTGGCAACAGAGAGACAGACAGTGTACAATTTACAGGGCCAGCGAGCGGGTGCGTCAGAAAGTGTTGGAACGGTAATGCAATAAGCTATGCTAGAAGGAGAGAAGGCTCAGGAAACAAAACAGAGAGACAAATCGAGAGAGGAAGGCAGAGGCAGTTTGACAAAGCCAGAGAAAATGAGAGATCAAGAGAGACCAAGAGAAACAAGAAAAGCAAAGTAAGAGAAGCAGGGAAGGGCTACTGAAGTTGATCCAGCCATAGCGCACTGTAGCAGTTCAGTAATGTAAGAGAAAAATACTACGCAGGAGCTGACAACGATCTGCATGGGAGAGACGGCCATGTTTTTCCTCCCCTCCTCCTCCTCCTCTTGGTTAAATCTGCTCCAAAACTCCAGCAATGTTGGAGAGAAGAGAGGAGACGCCACAAGGCCAGTCAGCCAGCAAGTGGGCGAGAGGAAGCATCCAGCGATCATGAAGACATTGGTGATGATAATGGCAATGACGCCAAGGCAGAACAATGGTGAGGAGAGAATAACAAGAGGACATTGTCGTATGCTGGTGGACAGGAGAGGACAGAAGTCTTGCATCCTCAGCGAACTGTAATGGGTTGATTACTTGCGGTTGCTGTCTTCATTTGGCAACAACCTGCCGATCCTCTTTCTGTTTGTGCCCTCTTCTTCTTCATCATCTTCCCTCCCGTTACAGAATCAGTCACATGAATAACTGAGCGACTCTGTCTTCTTTTAACAGTTTTCTCCACAGACTTCCCTATGTCATCTTCCCTCTCTTCCTCCATTCCCTTCTCTTCATCCTGCTACTCGCTTGCTCATGTCGAAGTGTCATCCACTGTTACCTATCCATTGCCCAGCGTAGTTTTCTCGCTCTTGTGCCTCTGTGAAAATCATATTACCATCGGTCTTCCATTTTTTTCCCCCTTGTAGGTAAATGAGTTGACATTATATAGTGATGAATGATTGCATATCAAGTGACCCACAGTTTCCTTAAGGGAGAAACCTTCCACCCCGTCTGTATCCTTTGGATCTTGGAGGAAGGGCCAGCAAGCCAGCTCCCTCTCCATCTACCAACCTTTCTCTGTCTTGTGCATGCAGCCTTGTTAGATGACCTATTATCAGCCACAGGTGTAAGATTGAAGTTTTTTGTGTCAAGCGAGGAATGGATCACCGATGTGGCTGTAGAAAATGGAGATCGAAGAACCATTATCGGTGGCTTCTCCTTTCTCCTTTCTCCGAATCTAGACGCCTAAACATGGAAGAGAATCTCCGTAAGGAAAATCAGATGCCATTTGCAGAAGGCATAAACAAGCAATGTAACGTTGCTTTTCTTTGATCCTTTTCCTTTTTCCTGTTGACGCCGTTGAGAGTTGAGATTGTGTATTCGCTTGGCAACCGCTGGTTCACCGCTGCACTTGATAGCAGAGAAGCTCTGTCATAGCCGAAATTGCCAATACTGGTCTTTTGTGGATAAACAAAACACACAACAAAACCCTATATGCAACACCATCTCATGCAGTAGAGCAAGTAGTGTTGAAGGGCGTGGATAGAGACAGGGAGACGTTTTCTCATTGGTAAGAGCTCTCCTGCACTGTACTAGTACTAGTACTCCTAGCCTGCCACTACTAGCGACTATCCCCCACAGCTCTCTCTGTTTCTGCTCACTGCACACTCCTCCATTCCATCGTACGTGCCTGCTGTGGCTCAGATAATGGCCTCTGCACACATTGAAGAGTGAGAGCAGAGGAGATGGAGGGAGAGGCTGCGCGAGAGGGAGGGGGAATGGAGCGAGGGAGGGAGAGAGAGAGAAGGGGGAAGGTGGGGGCTGCGAAGAGAAGCCGACTGCATGTGTAGAGAAAGAGGATATTGAAAAAGGGAAGGGAGGAGCAGACAGAGATAATGAGAAAGAAAAAAGGAGAGAACAGAAAGCGTCGGCCATAAGAAGAGGCAAGAGAATGAGAAACGTGTGTACTGGGGGAAGGTGTGTTGTGTGTGTGTGTGGCTGGCTGTGTGTACGTGTGTGACCGCATGCATGTGTATTTCGGCGCTCGCTCTGTCTGTGCGCTGCACAGACTGGAAGGAATAAAAAGGAATACAACCCAACAAGGCCGGATTGCTTGTGGGCTGCTGTGCCGGCAGGCAAGTCTCATGCTCCTCTCTGTCTCCTCTTCTGCTTACTGCTCTCCGACTGGCAGCTCCATCTGGACGTCTAGGACCACGTAAGTATGCGTCGCTGGTCCTCGGGCTCTCAGCCGGCTTCATATTGTCAGGGTCTCTGCTTCATGTTCCTGTTCGGCACGGCAGCAAAGGAAGGGGTGGGGGAAGAGGGAGGAGGAAAAGAGGGAGAATGGGGAGGGTGTTGTGTATCTTGGACTTAGGTTCAGCTGTCACACAAGCTCAACTTAACCCCCTCACTACCACCACTAGTCTTTACATGCTTTGTCTCCACCCTCTAGTTTTTTTTTTTGTTTTTGTTTTTGTTTTTTGCAGTGTCAGTGTTAAATAGTCCTTGCTTTGCTCTCTTGTTTGGCTCCTAGACTCAAGTGTCTGGTTTACCAGGTTCTGCAACATCTGAACGGTTAGATGTGTTGATGCTCCTGGGTGCACTTGTCGAGGGTGTACAAATGTGTGTGTGTTTGTGTGTGNACGGTTAGAGAGCAGACAGAGATAGGCAAGAAAGTAGACTCTGTCATGGTGTAAATATTTGTCAAACCACGTGGTCTGTACAGTCCAAGGCACCCGGATAGGGGCAAAGCGCTGCAGGTGTGCGTGCACCATTTCCATCCTGGACCAGCATAGACTCACAAAAAAGTTAACCTCAATGAATCAAGATCATATGAGGATTCAAAGAACAGTTATTTTGTGTGCGATGCAACATTTGTTATCTGCACCAGCAAAGCCGAGTTCTCAGTGTACAGCTTGTGGTGCTTTAAACCCATGTCACATGTCACATTTCTTTTGCGGCAGTGGTTTGTATATGTGACTCTGAGAAAAAGAGGAAAAGAGAGTGTCAGTGTGACTGATGTGCGTGATTGTTGGATGTTGTGCAGTGTTGCAGTCACTCTGTTACAACACACTGCAGTTCTCATAACTGCCGTGCACAGCCCCCCCC